AGACAGACATCTTTTGACAAATTAATACTTTTTCTTACAAGGCCTCATTTCATGTAAAACTCCATTTTACCTGCTTTTTTAATAAAAGAGTATGTTGTAGTATGTGAACACTGTGTCACAACATACCAATCACTTCCCAGGCCATGCAGTCCATAAATGCAAACTAACTGGCAAAAACGGTTCTGACGGTCACTGTTTTGTGAGGTCAACCAAGACATTTCAGGCAATTCACAGCAGTTCAGCCCTGCCCATTAACGATTAGTTACAAGCAGCGTTTTAGCCTGGACTGCTTCTTGAATGAGGCATAATGCAGGGCAGTCAATCAGCCTGGCACTGAGCTCATTTACATATTTCAGTCTTACAGCAAGAAAAACAGCCTGTTTAATTCTGAATTTAATTCTAATGTAAAAATGACGTACAACCAGTTTTGGTATATAAAACCACACATGGACCTCGGAGGAAAAAGGAATATACAAGAAAAAAGTAAGATACGTCCAGCAATAGGATCATACTGCAGCTCAAATATCATTATAATATTGCATCATGTGGCCTCCAGTGATTCCCAGCCCTAAAGGAAAGCCTCAGCCATTAACACCCCTGGGAAGTTACCCATTGTGCATAAAGCTGAGATGAGCATCACTGAAAGCAGTGTTTATGTATGCGTGTGTGCAAAACTTCTTTGAGGACACTGACTCCACGTTCAACACAAAAATAACATGTGACTCCACTTACGCTGGCAGGCTGAGTGCGAGCTACGGACAGACGCTCTGGCTCAGGCAAACACAAAGGGTCCCTGAGCAGTAAGCAAACGCCTGCAAATCACTCCACACAGTAGAAAAGCTGTTTTTCTTTACTGGAAACGGCACAAATTTCACAGTGTCTCCGAAAAGTGGTGTGTTTACAAAATGAAAGCCACCAGATGATGGCCTGCGGATATTTCATGGGTTCAATTGCATTTAACAACCGATAGAGCAGCAGTGCTGTGGCTCTGTTGACAGAGACAAAAAATTAGCGCAACGGGACAATTAGCACAGTGTGCTTATGCTAAATGGTCTGCAGGCCATAAAGCACCTGCAGCTCAATGACTGTGGAAAGAAGGACGATCTGTGGCCAACAAAAGAGGGAACAGGGTCAGGAGATGTCTTTCCTAAAATAAAATGTTGTTTTCCTCTGAGTGCATTCAGGCCTCTCCTCTGCATTTCCCCATCCTGATCTAGACAGGAAAGACAACATCAGTCCAGGAGGAGCAGCTTCTGGACTTCTTACCCACCTTAACTCTAGTGGCGCCAACAGATATATTTAACAGGAGCCTCGCCCAGTGGTCCAGCTGGGGAAAAAAGTTCATTGGGTATGGTGGATTAAAACCTCTTGGGGCAGACGAAGGGGCTGATTATGAAAATTTAACTATGAAGCATAAAGCATCTTCACTGTATACTGTGATTAGTCTACGTATTTGTTTATACAGAACAAACAAAGGTAATTGTAGCTCTATATGCAGCAGACCTTCAGTAGAAAGTCTGAGTTTCATTTTATTCATTTTTACATGATTGTAAATTGCTGGAACTCCCAATACATCTAAAGCAACTTGGTAGTGTAAATCCCATACAACAAAGGGGGGTGGCAGCCCCTCATATCCCGCCGAGTCACGGTCGCACCCCACTACTACTAATATATGCTTTGCCTATTATTATAACTGCAGGCTCCCAAAGGTCTAATGTTCAAATGATTAAAAGATTTTAAGCTAATTTTCAAAAAAGTCAGTAAAAGAAAATACGAGTTAATCAGTGTTTCCATCAATTGTGGTTATGCATAAATTCCTGAATACGCAGGGCGCAAAACAAGAGTCTCACTCACTGTGCCTGGCATATGCGATACAAGGACCTGAACCTTTATTATCTCTCAGCAGAGCAGTTTTGACAGCCCTCTGGCAGCCGTACATGGCTGTAGCCCTAAGGACTCAGAGACACCAGGCAGAGTGGGCAGCGGCCCATTTAATGAGGGCTGAAGTCGCTGTCACCTTCGTCATCTCCCACCGATCCCCTGAGAACATCACCACAGCAAACAGGTCCAAGAGGCCAAACTTCGTTACATTACATCATCGCTTATTCAAAAAATCTGTTTCCATGACCATTTTTTTTGCATTTCTCCTCTATCAATAAAACAACTTTTCCACCTTATCCAAGCATTAACAATTTTTGGTGATTTTTTTTGTTTTTATTTGTCATTTCTGGCTCTAAACGTCCAAAAAGGAAGTGAAGGGAAAGCCCACAAATGGCCAAGATGCCACCTCTCCAATCTCTGCACTCCCTTCTACTAGGGCCAGGCAGTATGACAGTATTTATTGTTATCGTGAGAAATTACATCACAATATTTCACAACACGCTTTTCTCAAGAAATTGTGGATATTGTCTATGCTTAAAAACACATGCTATCTGCATGTCTGATTAAAAAGAGAGCAAATTTAGTCCTATTAAATTGGATTTAGTGCAGCACAATGTGTGAAATGTTTGAACATCACAGTTTGACAGTATTTTTCAGACTACTTTGTCTGTTCCAACTAGAAATGAATATAATATATTGTGTACTGCTAAAAGTTCTTAGAGTACAGTGATATTACATTTTGCCATATCGCCCAGCTCTACCTTCTACCCTCCAAAACTGCAAGCTGAAAAGCTCCTCACTTTAGCACCCACCACTTCCCAAAGCACCTTCCATCTAGACTGTTACTAGTGTAAGATTAGCCCCTTTAAGACCGCCAAATCCATCCCGGCCACCAGCGCGTTAATGCTCACCAGAGAGTCTGTGCAGCCACACCATAAGGAGACTGCCAGCTCCATTAGTTTAACCTACGTCAGGCTTTAGATGAGCGACTAAGGCCTTGTTACCTGACTGATTACATCATGCATCTAACTGCACCTTCTGCAAGAGTCTCTATGATGATGTAAAATCAAAGCAACATTTAATACTGCGCTTAAGCCCTTGAGCTGTCCCTTGTTCAAGGAGCCGTCTGAATCAAGCAGCAACAGCGAGGCTGAAATAGTGAGACTGTTGAACGGTGGCCAAGCCTGAGTGCAGCAGTGTGACTGATTTAAAGGCTCCATCAGTCAGTGGGAGCAGACGCAGGATATCACGTAATCACTGGGAAATGCAGCTGCACTGAATTTTCAGTCCAGCTATTGCAATCACTAATGAATACCACACTGACCATCAGCTACTTCTGCCGTCTGGTGCTGCTTAAAGCCAGGTAAAGATAACCCTATTGATGAAGCAGTTCTCATTTTGCTTTGTCTAGGGCTTCGTATATCCAAGCTTCTTTATGTGAGCACCAACGAGCTGCCCAAAGCAGAGGTCTTCAAACCTTGAGCCCAGTTTCCAGTCTTGGATCTTCTATTCTTTGGTACTTCTCTGATCTGTTGATGTAAATGATTGGTCATCTAGTGTCACATCTAAACTGCAAAATCCAGCACTGTAGAATAATTTCAAGGTCCAGGATTTGAAGAGCTCTGGCCTATAGAAACCCCTCACGTTCAAAAACAGAAGCGACCGCTCGACAGACTGTCTCAGAGACGGCGAGGCCGACCCTCAGCATGTCAAAAAGGCCTCTTGAAGAGCCTTAAGACAGACTGATTGTTAAAATCTCTGGAGTTTTGTGTCCGTTGCCTTTGACTCGCCAAGGTTATGTGTCAAGACAGCACGCAAACAGATTGCGTTGAGAGTACTGACATTTAGCTGACAAAATAAAAGAAGGCCTTGTTTATTCATATTAATTCAGAGTGATAAAAGAATGGCCTCGTCCTGCTTCTCTGACCGCCAAAGCAGCCCGTAGTAGCCTATGCTCTATGGCCACAACTGTCTGCTACAGCATTTAATTGGTATTGATTGGGGCAGCCTATTGTTGTCCAGATCAGTGAATCACCAAACCATCACAGTCAATGCAAGTGGAGACAATTACACTGCGAAAAAAAAAGGCAGAAACATCGATTTAAAGCTGTTGCTACACACTTTAAAAAGGTGGTTCTTCAAGGTTCTTTAGCAAAGACAATGGATCTTTTTAGAACCATTCCATGCTTAAATGGTTATCTACATGGTGAAACTGTTCTTTAGACTGATAGAAAATGTGATCTATATAGAACATGATTAGCACCAAAAAGCGTTCTGCTACTGATACTATGTCAACCTTGTAACAATAGAAGAACCCTTTTTGATGTTATATAGAAATATTTTCAAAAGGGTCATTATAAAACGCATTCTCCATCAAACTGAAGAACCATTTCACCATGCAAAGAACCACTGAAGCACACAAATGGTTCTATACGGTAGGCATTGTCCTAAAAAAACATTGCCAGTACTAAGGAACCCCTAAAGAACCACCTTTTTTAAATGTGTATGTGCAAAACAGTAATGAGGCTAGAGCTGATGCTCTTGACAAAGGATGGAGGGGATGCAGAGATGCTGGAGAAGATGCAAAAGATACGAGTGCACTTCATTCACTGATGGGAAATCGTGCTGTGCCCTAAATTTTGGGTGCAATGCTGTTTTCACGGGTGGGACCATGCAGAAACCTTCTGATCAGAAAGCATGTGGGCACAACTGTATCCGACTCCTTCAACCCACAGTTCCTAATCTCACTGGAAGTGTTTTGAAGAGACCTGGCCTGGAAAATATGTGGGCTGAGTAGGAGAGAAGGAGAGAGAGGTCCTATCAGCGGCGTATAAGATGATCTCTGGTGATAGGAGTTAACGGGAATGGGTTACACTGCAGCCCCTTTTCCAGTAGGCACTTGAGCCAATTAGCAGGAAAAAAAACATGCCAGTGTACAGTGTTAGAATTTTCCCATTCTACCTTAAACTGTGCAACTGCTGCACCATTTAAGGTGGAACGGCAAAATTCCAATAAGAAGCCGACTTCAGCTTCGCGGAAATGTGGTAATTTCAAGCATTTCAAGTCACTACAACCTGCACATGACATAACGTCTGGTTAAAAAGGTTAACAGGGCTGACCTGTTGCGTCCTTTCAGCCGGATTCACCATGACCGCCTGCCGAAAGCTGTTATCCACGTACGAAGCCATTGTTTTTGTTTTGTTTGTTTTCTGCAGCTCAACAAAACGAGCAGGAAGCCGGGTCCAGTCAGGAACTTCTCTCTCCGTCCCTTCGTAAAGCTCGACAGCTCCAGAAGCTCCAGCAACAACAACAACAGCAGCAGAAGGTGCTGTCCGTCTGTCTCCCCAGCGGCCGTGCAGACTCCCTCTCTCTCCCCAAGGCCACGGCCCGAGCCCCGGGCTTTACTCCGCTTTCCCGGCCGCGACTCTACAGCTCGACTTCGGGAATGAGCTCCAGCAGACAGGCCCTCTGGAAGCCTCTGCACACTTTAATTTAGTCGCTGAAAGGTGCTGACAGGGCCACCCTCAATTTTTTCCGTTGCTGCAGACGTAGGAGGGAAAAAAGAGCATTTTTAGCATTTTTAGCACTCCGCCGTAGCCTCGCGCCGCTTAGCTCTTCCATTTCAGGGGGGTTTCCATTTCAAAACGGCTCGAGCTTAACCGTCTTAACCGTCTTAACCGTTCTTCCCTCCTCTTCGTAAACCAAATGAGGTTTAAAAACCTTCATTGACGAACAGGTTGTTAATTCTACCAGAAAAAGCGATAAACTGCCTGCCGTCTCGACTGTTGTATCCCACCACCATGGTGACCGCCTCAGGAGAGCGTACATGGGCGAGTCCATTCAAGCCACGATAGCTAGCGTTCATTTTTATTCCCACCCGTTTTCGGTAAAAAAAATCCCGCCCTCCCGCACCAAGATTGGCTAGTAGGCTCCGGCGTCCTGCGCTACGATTGGTTTGCGGGGCGGGCTGCTTGTGAGTACGGCTCTGATGAGTATGAACTACTAGCCAAACCTAGGAATGCTATTAGCCAATCGTAGCACAGGAGGCGGGGTGTTGTCGGAATACGGGTGGGGAAAAATATAAGGTATTCAGCACGGACGGAGCAGAACAATGCAACGAAAACGCCGTGGTCTGTCGCCATCCGCTGAGTGTAAACAGAAGTACAAGGTTTTCAGTCGACTTCATGTTTAATTATGGTTTTGCAACAGTCAGACCACCCTTCATTTTTTGTTTAATTTCCGGTTAAATAGACATTAAGTACAAGTTATTTATCTTTTCAGCACCAAGACAAAAGCCCCAGAAGCCTCAACAACTAAATATAATATAGAATTTTTCAGCATTTAGTGTGTCCATCTTTTGTCCTTATTGCAGCTTCTCAGAGGAGACTTGCTTTCAGGTTTTCAAAGAAATCTGCATGGACATTTTTCCACACATCCAAAGTTCAGTCTTAGAAGTTGGTTGCACTTTCGCACAATCCAGATAATCCCAAACACATACAGTGATGCTGAGGTCTGGACTCTGGGGTGGTCAGTCTATTGTTCTGAAAATACCAGCAGCTTCTTTGTTTGATAAGTAAGTATTGATCTTCTAAGCTATCTTGCTTTAGAAATAATTTCTTCCCAATTTCTTCCAATGTTTTCCAGAGGGTATTAGAATTTTTAGTACTTTTCAGCCTTCATGATGCCTTCAATCAAAAACAAATCACGAAATCCAGATCCAGAAACATCCCCAGCCTTGCTCTGATCCTCCACCATGCCTGATTAATGGTTACAGACATGGTTTGAAGAGTCTTTCATTGCTTTGGTGCCTTTTGTTATTTCCAAAAATATCAAATTTAGACTCATCAGTCCATAAACCCTCACTCCACATCCCAGACATCCACTTTCAGCGTTCAAGTGCACATTTTCTTCTGTTTTCTTCTATTTCCTTTTCTCAGTAACAGCTTCTTGACAGCTGCAACAGTTTGGGAACACCTTTTGCTGGAAGGACACAGCTATAACTCATCGCTTTTAAGACTGGAAGGATAGAAGAGTTAAAGTGCAGCAGAGTGCACGAAAGTGAAGAGTGGACAAAATAAATGCTGACAGATTTGATATTACGCTTAGTGTTGCAGGCATCTGTGCAGTTTTTGTGATAAATATTTGAGTTCTGCTTTTTAACTTAATGGCTATTTTGACTGGAGATTAAAGTAAAGGGTGGTCTCTGACTATGCTGCTCAGTACTGTACAGTGTAGGTGGGATAGCAGACTGTGATGTAGATCAGGCTTTCCTGCTGTCTTTTACGGATCATAACCCAGCAGGAGTTCCTGCGCTGCTGCTGTTGCTGATATCTTTGCCTGCAGGCGAGTCAGAGCAGGCGCTGCAGCCTCTTGTGCCTTTGGGGGCGCCAGAGGTGCTTGGCAGACTTCTCTTCTCTTTCCCCAGAGCTGCTAAAAAGGCTGTCACTGCCCTCTTCTGAACTTTGATGGACATTGCGTAGCTGCCAAGCTGAGCTACCCTCTCTCTCTTTATATATGGTGTATATATATGTATATACTAACTGAATTGGCGATGATGATGATGATGATGGTTAATGACTGAATTGATGATGATGATGATGGTTAATTACTGAATTGATGATGGTGATGATGATGATGATGATTGTTAATAACTGAATTGATGATGATGATGATGGTTAATTACTGAATTGATAATGATGATGGTTAATAACTGAATTGATGATGATGATGATGATGATGATGATGATGGTGGTGGTGGTGAATAACTGAATTGATGATGATGATGATGATGATGGTTAATTACTGAATTGATGATGATGATGATGATGATGATGGTGGTTAATAACTGAATTGATGACGATGATGATGATGATGATGGTTAATAACTAAATTGATGTTGATGATGATGATGATGATGATGATGGTTAATAACTGAATTGATGATGATGATGATGATGATGATGATGATGATGGTTAATAACTAAATTGATGTTGATGTGATGATGATGATGATGATGATGATGATGCTGATGGTTAATAACCAAATTGACGATGATGATGATGGTTAATAGCTGAATTGATGATGGTTAATAGCTGAATTGATGATGGTTAATAACTGAATTGAGGGTGGAGGTTAATAATTTAATTGATAATTATGGTTAATGACTGAACTGATGATGATTAATAACTGAATTGAAAATAATATGTAATAACTGAATTCATAATAATGGTTAATAACTGAATTGATGATGATTAATAATGGAGATTTATTAAGTAATTCGCTTCAAATCAACAGCTAAACCGCTTTAGACGCCAGTTTTGATTCCAGGTTTGTTTGGGCGCCTGCTGGCCGTGCTGCTTCCCCTGTCGTTCATTTTTAATGTAATTCTGAATTAGAGGTTTAAATAAGCCGGTGATCCTGATCTGTTTACAGTAAACACTGCTGCCATGGCAACAAGGCCCGCCATGGTAACCGAGAGTAACGCCGCCACATGCAGTCTGCAAGAGAGGCATTAAGAGGCGCAATGCGGGGGGGAGCGGAGGAGGAAGAGAGGGGGTCAGTGAAGGGGGCAGCAACGAGGGGGCTGTCAGTGAGGGGGGGTCGCTCAGGCTCTGCACCTGCTCGTGAAAACTGGACAGCGGCGCGAGCGTCTGGACAAAGAATCCTCTTCACAGGTAACGCGAAGTTTTGGCGATCTAACACTAGAGCCCAGACAGTACGAAGCCATTAACAGGCAGAAAGTGTGTTATAGCTTATAAAGCGTCATATAACACTAATAATGCGTGCTGTACAAAGGAAGAAGAATGTCTCTCTTTCCAAAAAAGAAAAATATATATATAAATATGTATGTGTATGTATGTATGTATGTATGTATATATATATATATATATACATACTGAAAAAGATGGTTCTTCAAGGGCTAATTGTTCCAGAGGCCTGAGTTCTCTTTAGATCAATTTGCATGCATAAATGGTTCTTTGCATTGTGAAATGGTTCTTCAGATTAATGGAGAATGTGTTGTGTATGGTTCTATATAGAACCAAAAGCGTTCTGCTATTGTTACAATGTCAAGTTTGCAACAATAAAAGAACCCTTTTTGGCGCTACATTGAACCATTTTCAAAAAGGTTCTATAGAGAACCATATACAAACACATTCTCCATCTGTCTCAAGTAAATAAGCAAATTTTATTTAAATAGCACAATTAAAACCTACGTGCTTTACAATAAAAAACACACCAAGAACCATTTCACCATGCAAAGAACTATTCAAGCATGTAGATGGTTCTATATAGAACTCATGGTTCTATAAAGAACCACTGTCTTTACTAAAGAACCTTGATGAAAAGTCTTTCTTAAGCATGTAGGTTTGGGTCCTCTTCTCCTCGATGCAGCTCCAGCCATCGCATCAATTTGTTCAGTTCCACCATCAGAGCTCAAAGGCTCTTCTTCTTTGGTTCTTTGCAGCGTAAAAGTGTTCTTCAGATTAATGCGAAAATGTGTTGTAGAGGGTTCTATGTAGAATCTTTTTGAAAGCGGTTTTATGTAGCACCAAAAAGCGTTCATCTATTGTTTCATTTTGGTGTTATGTAGAACTCTTTTCAAAAAGGTTCTAGATAGAACCATCAACAGCACTCTGCAATCTGAAGAACTCTTTCATGATGCAAAGAACGCTTTAATCTTGTAAAGGGTTCTTTGAGTGTTTATGGCTTCTTTAATAAAGCACTTAATACTTAAAACTCTTTTAAGAGTGTAAATAACAACAGTTTGTGGGGGTTTTGTGTAACAATATCTCACCATTTAAATATTTCATTTGAATAACAAAATTCCATAAGTCAATAATGATATAAATCTTGAGGGGGCAGAAAATAAATTACATTCCTTTACATGTTTATTTAGTAATTTGTACACATTTAAGGGCTCCTTGTTTATCTGATGTTTATATCTGCAGTGGATGGCTCCATGTAAATGGGCCACCTTGAGCCTTGTGGTCTGAGGCCCAAGAGCTCTGGTAGTCAGAGGCCCCAGTGGCCCGGTCAGTAATCCATCACTACATACAGCCCTCCGAATTCAGCGCATTCAGCTAGTTTAAAGGGGAATTCTGCTGATTTTTCAACCACTGAGATGTAAACAAAGTTGTTTAGAGTGGTTTGATGTGAAATGGTTCATTACAGAGAAACAACAGACTTCTGTAGAGCAGAGCATATTACGTCAAACCTTTCCGAATGACTGTGTTTACATATCAACCATTTAATTTTGCTGGACATTTTAAAAATAGTGGAATTTCCCTTTAAAGTGCGTCCATTACTAACACAGGTGTCCAACTGTGCACACACAGCTTATAAAATCTCATTAGAAAAAAACTGACCAACAGAATCAGACACTCTGCAGCAGCCACACTTGAGCCACAGGTCACCATGACAAATGCGGGCAAGCGTGGTATAAAGCTCCCCAGTATTGAGCTGTGGTGCAGTGGAACTGCGTTCTCTGAAGTGATGGAGCTCCATCCAGTACCTTTGGAATGAGCTGGAGTGATCCAGAACTGACCATCCAACATCAGCACCTGACCACACTAATGCTATTGTGGCTGAATGCATTCAAATCCTCACTGCAATATTCCAACGTCTAGTGTAAAACCTTTTTAGAAGGGTAGAGGCTGTTACTGCATCAAAGGGGGCAAAATACCCTAAATTTTGGAGGAAACACCAGATAAGCAGGTGTCTACAAACTTTTTAGGGTCAGTTTCCCAGACTGGAATTAAGCACAGCCTTGAATATTTTCCTTTTTGCAGAAAGAATCTACACTCCAAATCCTGTGTAGTCCAGGACTAGGCTTTATCCTTGTCTGGGAAACCTGCCCATACTGTGAGTGCAGAGCTGCTTCAGGGAGAGGTTTGCTAGGGTAAGCTAGCACTGACTCATAAAATCACAACTGGATTTATTTTGATTTGTGTCTATTCTAATGTTGGTGTTCTCTGCTGGCCATGGTCAATGAATCACTGACTGATGGAATAAAATAACTGATGGATTCCTTTACACAGATTTTTTGTACAATGTTATCTCTCTAGTGCTGGTGTGGCCACTGGGCCTGGTTTAACTTGGCTTGCACTGAGCAAGGACAAATTTAGCAGTTTGTGGACCAGTTTTCAGGCACACTGATGCTTCCTTTAGCTTCTTTCAGGAGGCCCCCTAGTAGCCATTCTGCCAGCAGACTGGAAATTAGATTAGATACTTAGATATGACTTAGGTATTTCTTATTAATGTAATCAAATGAAATATTATTTCTAATCAGATAAACTACACTCTTAGAAAAGATGGTTCACTTAAAGAACCATTTACATGATTTAAATGGTTCTGTGCAACATGAACAAGTTCTTCAGATTGACAGAGAATGTGTTGTAGATGTTTCTATATAGAACCTTTTTAAGAGGGTTCCAAAAAGTGTTCCACTATTGTTACAAGCCAAAGAACTCTTTTTTGGTGCTACATAAAACCCTTTAGGAATGTAGGACATACAGAGTGTTGTCTCCCTAGGGTTTCAGTCATGTGATTTTTCTGCTGTGGCCGCCATATTTGGGACCGAATTTCTGGCTTTGCTGCTCCACGCGAATGTAACTAGAGGTGAAAGATGACTAAAATTACTCACCTTATTTTGGTAGAAAAAAAACGTTACCTTGACAAAGTCGATAAAATAGTCTGTGATCCTCATACAGTTTCCCACTTGAACTCCTGGTCCAACTTAAACTGCCGGAAAGCTACTAAATTTGTGTTTTCCTGACATTGATATTTATCTCATACACAACCCCTCTCCCTATTCTGGAGTGTCTGAAAGCATTTAAAAGCACAGAAGACCACCGACTCTTCACGTCAGGGTGGGTAAAGGATCCCATGGTGTTGCATAAAGAGGAGAAAAAACTCTGTGATCATAGGAGGAACGACATCAGCTAACTAACACAGATGTGAACAATGCTAGCCTTTAGATAACTTTAGCTAATGTTAACAGCCGTGAGATAAACAGTCGTCCCCCTAACGGAGCTGCAGACAGCCGCTATAACTTTACTCTCTGTTTCTGGAGATTTAAATGATGTTTGAATGGACATTAAACATTAAATATGTGGATGTCGTGGGTCAGAAAACTATGTTGTTTCGATAGACCTGATTTTGTAAGTTTGCTTGTGCAGTTAGTGCAAAGTTCAGCTCCAGTACTGCAGCCCCTGCACTGCATAACTGTGGTTAAAATACCTGATATTATTAGCTAATTAATCCCTTCTTGAGCTGAACGAGGTGTGAACTGCAGAGAAAAACACAAAACTATACAGCGCAGGAGCTCCAGCACAGTCTGGAGTTTGTGTAGTCTCTCGTCATTCTCAGCTTCGGTCACGTCTTGCAGGTGAATCATTCACAAAGCACAGCATATTAAAGGCATCACACTTTCGCATTAACTCCCTGATTTGGTCCTCAAAATGGCGGCGACTATACAGTGTAATGTCACGCAAAATGCGAGAATATGAGAAATGTTGTATCTCTGTATTGAGCTGCTAGCAAGCAATGAGTTGTGAAAAGGGAGGGGTGAAGACTGCAGCCTTGTAGATATAAAAAATCAATAAAATCAATAATAGCAACAATAGCATATTAAATACAATATAAACCCTTTTATGCTGACCAGCATGCTCTGCTAAAAAAGTCAAAAATCCAGTTTTATAAATTATACACATTACAATTGAAATAATACTGGAGAAAAAAATGCACAATGCAAAAACGGAGGGATCTCCTCCAGAACAGGTGGAAATGTTATGGCTACTGGGAAAAGCCACAGTTGATCTTGCTGTGGACAGCTTTGCCAGTGATCCCACATTTCTCTCAGTCTCTGTAAGCTTCCCTTAAGCGACATCTCCCCTTTGCTGCCCCCTTTAAGGACCAGACGGCATTGGAGATTACCGGGCAAGGCTGAGTGATTTCACCCGGGGCATTGGAGTGGGCCCCTTATCTCCCGAAGCTACGGGTGATTTAACCTACCTGTATCGAGCTGCGCCACACATGCCCGCACCCCTGCCCAAGCAGTGCTACGCTGGCGGAGTGGGGTGGGCTGTGCATTACGGCAGCGCACTGAACAGCACCACTCTGCTCAGCAACAAGCAGATCAAGGTTTGTAAAACCTTGTACAGCTCACTATATTATAAAATTACAGCATGTTCATACAGTCCTCAGTAAAACTGTTCTGAATTCATTTCATACACACACACACACACACACAGACACACACACACACACACAGAGCTAATTTATGACACTCTTAAAGGTAACAAAAACAGCCTGTTTTTTTTCTACTGCTTCCTCTCTTTTTGGATATATGAGGTTTTATTCTGACAAGAAAAAAGGAAGATGGTCATTTAACCAATGGATACATAAAAAACAATACAAAGTAGCCTAAAAACGAAAAACAAATAACCACATATTCAGCAATATATACACAAACAATGTATACCATGTCTAAATAACTTTAAAATAATAATTATGTAATGAACACATATTACATAATGAAAAATAGGTATTTCTGTTTGGGTCCTCAGGCTTGTAAATGGTTTGGGTGTGATTCCTCTGATCTTATCTATCCATCTTGCTGCTGGTCATCCTCTTCCTCGTTTACCTTCAACAATTTTCTTTTTCTATTAATTCGTCTCATGTCCAAAATAACACATAAGACAGATCAAAGGCATCAATATTTTACCTGTCCCATTGTTTTAAACAAAGAATATTTATGCATTTAAAATGATCTGGTATCCGTATATAGGATATCATATGCCTCCATTACATATACAAGCATATATATCAACCTTCATTTGTTAATTAAGTTGTGTATATTAACAGGAGAACAACCACATAGATCATCCATTTAGACACACCAGGTTCAGTAGATGTGCTGAGCAGGAAAATTACCAAACTATAATGCAATCCATCAGGCCTGGAGTCATCTATGACACAATATGATATTATTTAATTGAAATTGAAAGTGTTATTATAGGTCTATTACTCCAGTGGTGCTGCGAAATATCTCACATTTTAATTTTCTTTTCCTCACTCTTTCTCTTTCTGAATACTTTCTGAACACTTTGTTCTTCCTAGTGTTGTATAATTACACTATATGTCCAAAAGTATCCAGACACCCTTTCTAAATTTGTGAATTCAGTTGTGTGCATACAGCTTGTATAATCTCCATAGAGAAACATTGCCAATACAATGCAGTGCTCTAGAGCATCCCTACCTGAGCCATGCCCAATGTCAAGCAGTGAGGGATACAAAGCCCTCTTGTGATCCATGCAATCAAATCCTCACAGCACTCTAATGTAAAGCCTTCCCAGAGAAGTAGAGGCTCTTACTGTAGCAAAAGGGGTTAAGTTCCCTATTAATACCATTCATTTCAGAAGAAAAACTGGATGAGTGTTTACAAACTTTTGGACATAGTGTCACAACTTTGACCATAATCAGTATGATTTAATTCAGTGTTTAATTCCACATTTATTCTTTTTGTGAATATGTATTGTTTTCTTTCCTCAGCTAGCAGGATTTCGCTCAGCCTTAGAACACAGGATAACTCACAGATATCAAAACCCATGGTAAGCCACAGAACTCAAAACCTCATAGAGAGGCTTCAGTTTACTTGGATCCGTGTTCATACAGAATCTCAGTGCATACAGTAAAAGTGCTGATCTGGGACTGGGTCGTGCTCTCTCTCTCACTCTCTCTCTCTCTCTCTCTCTCTCTCTCTCTCCTTATTTCACTTACTCTGGTCCAGAAACTGTAGCCGTGCTCTGAGAGGCTTCATGAATACATCTGGGTGTCCTCATTAGATCTAGATAAAGTCCCTTTACAGATGTCTGTGCAGATGAAGCTGTAGGCTTACGCTCCTCTTGATTAATAATTCAGTTCTTCCATACAAACAGGCAAGCACCGCCATGCTTTTTGGACAGGCAGCAGGCCGGGGCCCGCGGGAGGCTCGCGTGGAACCAGAACATCTATGAGAACTACTGCCAGGACAACAACAAAACCTTCCTACTGAGTAAGGTCAGATATTATCATGAAAGCCTCAGCCAAAAACCATACTTTCACAATTTTCTCCTTACCCCAAATATAGTCGATCAGACATGTTTGATGTTCAAAGTTTGCTGCTATAGTTTTGGCCTCATGCTATGAGGCTAATATCCCAGAAGAAAAATATCTTAAGATTGTATCAAAGAAATAAAGCAGATCTTAGCATTGTATTAATGAAGGCTCACTGATTTCTGATTTTTTTTTCCTAAATAACCGCCCCCCCACCAACACCTCCCCTTAGGAGAAAAGAGCAGATTAACATAAACATTTCATTGTAAGAAGTTCAGTTACATAACCTGAAAAGTAAAATGAGCAAAATAACAAAAGTTAGATCAATTTGGCAAACCAGCCACACAACAAACACACATTGTGCACATAAAAAACGTATTACATATTATTATATAATATGCTATCAACACACTAACATATATACTCCGAAAATGTGTCTCATCAGAAATATTCAGCATGTGGTGCATTAAGTGTGAAAAGTAGGCCTTGCTGAAAAACCCAGCACAGGCCAGCATTCATTCCACAATGGTCAAAGTTGGTCTGTGTTGGTTTATGCTAGTATCCTGCTGTTCAGCTGGTCACCCAGCATGGTCATACTGGTAGACAAGCATATCAGCATCCAAAACACAACATATGCTGGTTTTGCTGGTGACCTGCTGGTCTACGCAGGTTTTTCTAGCAGGGTGAGGGGTAATGTTTATGATGTAAAGTCAAGTTGGTTCAGTTAGCTGCGAGTTTAGCTATGGAACTTATAATTTAAATTATAGATTTCACTTGTAATAAATTACTATTTTTACTTGTTTCACTTAAGGAGACATAGTAAAACCTCTATATTTGTCGGAATTTGTACTTGTAGCTCTAGCCTGATAAAACTCTGTTTAACTATTTTGTTCTAATATACTTTCTCATGTGCTCTGAGTGGGAAAAATGATTCATTGGCTGAATTCCTGTGATCCAGATACCAACCCAGTGGCTAAAGTACCCAAAAACTACCCAACAAGGTGAAAATAGCACAACAACAAACCCTAATCCAGTACCTAAACTGCCCAACAAGATTTAACGAGTAGTATTTAGGTAGATAAAACAACCTAGCAGTTTCTATAGTGTATTGGTGAGAAACTGCAATGCCACGGCCATCTGTGGCCGAGAGCTTACTGGTCATGGTATTTGTAGTGTTATCGGATGAATCATGAATATTATCGCCAACATTCATGGGAAGAACCTCAAAAGGCATAGCTAGATATGTAAGTTCCTGACTTATGTAAACTTAAATATAATCGTAAACCAATGCAACAAAACTAGCACACAAGTGAATTAAAACAGTGACACATTTTACAGTTAACCGCACTGACTTGCATTTCAATGAAAACATGCTAACTTGCTAACTCTGGCCAAAGGTCCTTGGGAAGTGAAATCAGGACGCGAATGTGAAATTGGGCTTTACACTGGCATCTGTTAGCTGACCTAACAGAACTGGCACTTTCCCCAAGCGTGGTGAGCTGTCTAATGATGTTGTGCTAGTGGCAGTGGGATGGTGCTTCACGTGTCTCAAAGGAAGCATGTGCTAACTTTCACCCTCCCTGTAAGGTAGTATTGTGTTATAGGGAAACCTAGCTAGCGGGTGGAATTGGTCATGTTTAAATTGGGGAAAGAACTGGCAGGTGGAGTTTTAAAGAAGCAGTGTTGTGCAGTAATGTCTAATGCTTGTCTTCTCCCCATGATAGAGACGTACGGCTCCGAGGGAAAAGGATGGGGAAACTCATCTGAGCGCTGTCACTTTCCCAGCAATAGCAAGAGTCAGTGAATAATTGTTTGACTATAATAAAAAGATATGTTCTGTTACCACCAAATTGTGTTTGAACCCTATCAATTTTGTCCAGTGCTCCAGCAGATCTGTGTAATACTGTATCACAGTTTGTATCAAATCACATTTTTTATTCATTGAGTGCTCATCCATTCCAGTCTGCTTCCACATTATGCAGGAAACTGTGAGTAAACCAACCATACTATACCTCCATAACTATCCACACCTGGGCAAGCACCCTGCACTATACCAATAAGATTCCTTGGGCAAGACTCCTAACACTACCTTTGCCTGCTTGTGTAAAATGATCAAATTGTAAGTCGCTCTGGGATAAGAGTGTCTGCTAAATGCCATAAATGTAAACGTATCAGTCAGGCTCTACTCTGTAGAAGTCACATATGGAGCCCAATGTCATCACATCCAATGCTTTAGCGTTGTTTAAAGGGGTATACAGCCCCCCCAATTATCGGGCTGTGGAGCTGTGAAACTGGGTTGTCTTGAGTGATGGAGCTCCATCTGATACCTTTGGGATGAGTTGATGATGCAGAACTGTTTAACCAACATCAGTACCTGACCTTACCAATGCTCTTGTGGCTGAATGCAATCAAATCCTCACAGCAATGTTCCAGCATCTAACAAAAAGCCTTCAAAGAAGAGTAAAGGCTGTTACTGCAGCAAAGGGAGACAAACTCCCTATTAATGCCCTTCACTTTAGAGGAAACGATGGACAAGCAACACTTTTGACATGTATTGCCATATTGCTTCCAATGTTCCTTTACTTATATATATATATATATATATATATACTGCACGTGCATATATGAATGAAGCCCAAATGCTCAGATCAACAAACAGTTAAAAATCTATAAAAGTTGAAGCTACTTCAGGAGTTAGCCACTAGTGATGTCATTGTCTAGCTGTGGGTGTAAAGATGCCATCAGGGGTTTGAATCATGACTGATAGCAGCAGACGAGACCCGACGCCTGATCCTCTTAGCGAGTGTCGGAACAGATTCAGACAGATGATAGTAGCTGCAGAGTAATGATCCTTCAGCTAAAGCCTGGGCCTAAATGGGGTCTTCAGCCCATATCAGTGGCCACATAGCGCTAATAATGACCAGGAAACCAGGCCTCTCTGGCCATTTTCAATATCCTGTGTTGAGCCAGATGAGATGACCCCATTCCACCAGATATTTATCATTATCTTCCTGTCCAGTGCACTATCAATTACTGTTTTAGAGATTGTAGCATGAACATTTATCAGATATCCAATTTTCTAGAGAGTTATACAGCTATCCCTTTTCAGGCCATTTATGAAAGATGGCATGTTTGTAAAAGATACACAGTTGTGTGCAAAAGTTTGGGCACCCCTGGTCAAATTCAATGTTTTGATTTTCTAAGTGAAAATAAGTGAACACATCCTCGATGGAGAACACACTTCTGCACATTTTAATGCACAATTACTGTTTATTTGCTCAATGTTACATACCGGAGATAAATACAACATACAGGCCTAATCCCAATTACCTCTTGCCCCTACCACTTAGCTCTTACCCCTCTGTTTTGCGTGTTCATGTAGGGTAGGGTGTCCCGATTTGTGTTCAGATAGAGGGGTAGGGAGAAGTGACTACATGGCCCTCCAAACAGAGGCTTTTCAGAGACACACTCCAAATAGAGTGTTATGAGAGAAAAAGGAAAAAAAAACAAAAACAGCAAGCTGGCTGAACAAGTGACCAAGGAAACCCATAAATGTGAGAATTTTCTCAGTTAAAAAATTATGATAACCACTGTATTGTCTTTAATGTAATTTCAATGTATTATGGTCCTTTTCCTCATAGCAAGCATAAAGAATCGCTAGTAGTATGCTGATGTCTCGGTAGCTAGCTAGCTAAACTTCCCATTCCACCTTAAATTGTGCAGCAGCACTGATGCCTGAGGCACCAAAATGTAACTGCTCTTCCATTTAAGGTGGAACAGGAATTGCTCAAGGCAGACTGGCAGGGTTGCCTACACAGCACCGCTAGTAGCCTGTAAATGAAGTAATGCTCTCTTTTATTTGAGGGTCCCATTTCGTAGGGGAAGATTTCAACCAATGCTTCTTGTAACTCAGTTCCAAGGGGCAAGATGACACTTGAAAACAACAGATAGCAGAAAAATAAGAAATGGGATTGGGCCTAAATATGGCATGTGCAAAAGTTATGGCACATTTTATACATTATACTTTTTATTCACTAGAGTGTTCAAACTTTGGCATACTACTGTATTTACTCTCACTACTTCACTCTTTGCCCAACTCTGTACAGTTAAGTGTATGAACTAGAATTGCCGTGATGTTTTCTCACCAGCCTTGTTAAAGTATTTGTAATTTAAAAATGAAAAGTTGGCTTGATGATGACATGAAAAATAAAACAAAAAGGCCATTTAAAGAACATAACAGATAACATATCCACATGGGAATGTAAAGTCTATTTATCTAAATCCAATTAAATCTCTATAAAAGCCTCCCTCAAAAAATGGCAGGAAAGTGGCTTCTGAGAATGTCTAGAAACTCAATCAATATGTTCCCCTCGTGAGACTTTTAAATCTCATCAACACATGGAATCTCACTGGGCTTTTATAATAAAATGGACACTAAATTACTTTGTGATAAAATGTAACTAAATAAATATGTTTAGTTTAAATAAGGATTGTATTGACTGCCCAGAGAACAAGAAGGAATAGAGTTTAAGCTTTTATGTTTGTGTATGCTGCTATTTGTGTCATTACAAAATATAGTTTAATCATCTTACAGAGGCAAACAAAAGTAAAGTTAAAAGTCTTGCATGAAGACTCTTATTAGTGTAGTTACTGCGCACACACACACACACACACACACACACACACACAGACACGCACATCATCTACCTTGTGTCTTTAAACATGCTACTATGTACATTCTTAAATGTAAAGAAATCACATTATTTGGTCATCTAGAGTTTCAGTTACAGAATAGAAAAAAAATAAAAAAAATAAAGTACAAAATGTGCCATAACATTTGCACAGGCCACATTTTATGATTAATTTTTTTCCTCAACATGTTAAATTCTGAGAATAAACATTTGACCAGCGGCACCCAAACTTTGCATACGTATGTATGTATTTGTTATATTTGCTGACCAGCCACTTCAATAAGTACACCTCCTTGTTTCTACACTCATTGTCCATTTTATCAGCTCCACTTACAATATGGGGGCACTTTGTAGTTCTACAATTACAGACTGTAGTCCATCTGTTTCTCTGCATACTTTGTTAGCCCTGTTCTTCAATGGTCAGGACCCCCACAGGGACCACCACAGAGCAGGTACTATTTGGGTGGTGGATCGTTCTCAGCACTGCAGTAACACTGACATGGTGGTGGTGTGTTAGTGTGTGTTGTGCTGGTCTGAGTGGATCAGACACAGCAGTGCTGCTGGAGCTTTTAACCACCTCAGTGTCACTACTGGACTGAGAATAGTCCAACAACTAAAAATATCCAGCCAACAGCGTCCTGTGGGCAGCGTCCTGTGACCACTGATGAAGGACTAGAGGATGACCAACACAAACTGTGCAGTAGCAGATGAGCTATCGCCTCTGTCTTTACATCCACAAGGTGGACCAACAAGGTATGAGTGTCTCATAGAGTGGACAGTGAGTGGACACAGTGTTTAAAAACTCTGGCAGCACTGCTGTGTCTGATCTGCTTGTACCAGCGCAACACACACTAACACACCACCACCTCCACATCAGCGCCACTGCAGTGCTGAGAATGACCCACCACTCAAATAATACCTGCTCTGTGGGGCGTCCTGACCATTGAGGAACAGGGTGAAAGGGGGCTAACAAAGCATGCAGGGAAACTACTGTCTGTAAGCGCCTCCAGCTGGATGAACTCCCTGTCAGTAGGGGGCGCTGCAGTGACGCGCTCAGCTCGAGAACATTCCAGGCAGCTCTCCGTCTCTGCCTCGGTGCTCAGGAACGAGGGGGCTTCAGCAGCTCGGCGGCTATCTTTCAGCACACAAACCTCACAGAATGTCAAACCCAACACCCGCCAGCAAGCCCGGCAATGCCGACAACCCCCGGGTTTTCTTTGACGTAGATATTGGTGGTGAAAGAGGTCAGAACTTTCTACAATAAAGCTTTGTGTGGCCGTGATTGTGCACTGTGCGGCTAACAGCGCTGCGGGCTCGCTATTCTCACACAGCCGAGCCGACAGTGAGCAACTCACAGCTCAGACGATTAATATTAGCTTTTTTAGCTTTGGGCGAAGCTTTGAATGGAGAGACCGAGTATTATGTGCTCTATTACTAATACACGTCTTGTCTTTCAACCAGCTATGCTAACAACGTGGTCCAAAGCGGCTTTCATTGAAAGGGAATTCCAGCGAATTTTCTAAATTTCTGCGTAATTCAGTGGTTTAGATGTAAACAAAGTCTCTCGGGGTGGTTCGTTGTAGAGAAACAGAGAAACGTGCAGACTCTGATTTCTTTACAGTGGTGGTGATAGGAACCAGGGGTCACCATGAGTGCAGCACGGTCATTATACTTATCCAAAAACCACAGCAATAAAATAATGTGTCTAATGTGGTTTTATATGTCAATATTGGTGATGTTAAAATAATTGAAAATCTGAAAAAAAAATGTTTTCTTGGGACTATTTTGCCTCATGACACCCTGCATGTATCCCTCCACCATAAATGGATTTTAAGGCCACAACCTTCTCAAACTGTCGTAAAACAATGGGCCTCATTCATCAATACCTTCCCAAGTTTTTCTTAAATTTGTTGTTTACATCACATTCATTGCATGATCAGAAACCACAGAATTGTTTCCACAAATTCCAAATAAACTGCGTAAGTAGCTTTTAAGAAGAAATTTCTTCTGAAAAACAGTTGGTGAACGAGGCCCAATGGCATAAGGCAGTGTATTCATAGCCATTTCATGTAATAACTTTCTGTGAGGGAGATTCTCTAGAAGTTTCTTTAGAAAGGAGCGTTTGACACCAAACCACTCTAAATGATGTAATTTTCTCCTTAACCATTTGATTATGCTTAAGTTTTGAAAAATCGGCGGAATTCCCCTTTAAGTTCTACCCTCTTCTGTTTTTGATCAGTTGGGCGGGTCGTCTTCGAGCTCTTCGCTGATGTGGTCCCCAAAACGGCTGAGAATTTCCGAGCACTGTGCACCGGCGAGAAGGGAATAGGCAAAAGCACTGGAAAACCACTGCACTTCAAGGGCTGCCCGTTTCACCGCAGTAAGTATTTCAATGTGGCTCGTATCAGACAGAAGTGAATAGTTTTACAACCTCTGATGTTCATCTGCACTACAGTTCATAGCATTAATCTTTCGCATCCATTTATTTGTTCCTTGCACATTTTTTCAGCCGTAACAGTTACACCCCACCTGGTGTACAACATGTAGATTTAGTTTACCTACTGGCGATTGGTGTTGAAAGGTACTGATAAAATTCAGTCTCTCAATATTTAGCAAATATATCAAGGTGTTACGGTACCAGGTGATCTTTAAAGTGTACACTAATGAAGTTAACGAAGCCAGGCTTCTACCCTAAACTCTTAACAAAGATGGTTCTTCAGTAAAGGGTTCTAGTTAAAATCATGAGCTCTAAATAGACCTATTTCATGCTTAAATGGTTCTTTGCATGGTAAAAAGATTCTTCAGATTGATGCAGAATGTAATTGATGGAGGTTCTATATAGCACCAAAAAGTCTTCTACTGTTACAAGCTTGATCATAACAATAGAACACAAGCAAATCCACCTCTGAAAGCTTTAAACGAAACAAAATTAAGGTTTTGGAGTGGCGAGTCAAAGCCCTGACTTGAATCCCATCGAGATGCTGTGGAAAGACCTTAAACAGGTTGTTCGTGCTCATACACCCTCCCATCCATCCATCATCTAAACCGCTTATCCTTCTGGGTCGCGGTGGGGTGCTGGAGCCTATCCCAGCTGTCATTGGGCGGAAGGCAGGATACACCCTGGACAGGTCACCAGTCCATCGCAGGGCAGACAGACAGACATACACATTCACGCACACACCTAGGGGTAATTTAGCAAGTCCAGTTGGCCTGACTGCATGTTTTTGGACTGTGGGAGGAAACCGGAGTACCCGGAGGAAACCCACGCAGACACAGGGAGAACATGCAAACTCCACACAGAAACGACCCTGGTCACCCGGCCGGGAATCGAACCCAGGCCCTTCTTGCTGTGAGGCGACAGCGCTACCCACTGCGCCACCGTGCTGCCCATAAACCCTCCCATGTAGCCAAATTAAAACAATCCTGCAAAGGCATCAGTAACCATCTTGTGTAATAGCTTTCTATGAGGGAGCTTTTGAGACATTGAACGCTTCAGACGTCTGGTAAACAATTCTGACTCCGTAAGTGTCTCTAGATCAGAGATTTTGGCTTGAAAACACCCTTGATGACTTAATATTTTAATTATGCAAAAAATATGACAAATGGGTGGAATTTCCTTTTAACTGTCACATCCTGGTTACCATGAGTGAAGTGCACAGAATGGAATTCGGCACTAAATCTGTTTGGCAAGAGAGGCAACGCATTATGTGGCATTTTTTGCACAGATATAATGCTGAAAACATATAGAAGATATTGCAGAAATGATTACTAAAAATATATTATTTAGGTAACACTTAATTTGGATGGTCCACTGCAGATGCTTTGTAAATGCTCAGTAAATCTTTAAGTAACATTCAACTAAACTGAACTTGAAGTTGAGTGTTATTTAGATGGTCCACTGCAGATGCTTTGTAAATGCTTAGTCTGTCTTTAAGTAACATTCAACTAAAATCAAGTTCAGTGTGAAAGATTGTATTAAAACTGTCTGTAACACTAAACCTAACCTTAACCCTAATCTCAAGACAAAACCTACACCTAATCCTAACCATAATGGTGTTGATAATCAACTGAACATCACCAGAAAGTTTGTTAATGAATTAAGTATCTGTAGAGCATCTATATGGGACCATCTAGATAAAGTGTGGCCATAATCTTTTGTTAATAATGTAGTATTCCTTAGTAGGTGAGATATCGCCCAGTGCTGCTGGGTATATGTACATTTTGAGACTATTTAACTGCTGTGTTGTCTTATTTGCATACGTGCAGGTTCACAGAGTTCCTAATTCCCTGCATATGCAGGTGCCTATAAAGTTAATTCTGATTCAGCATGGTCTTGTCGTCCCCTGGGTCCTTCTGCAAAAGCTTTGATAGAAACTACGGATTTGTTCTATAACTTAGTAGTCCTCTCTTTATTCCAGTCATCAAGAAGTTCATGGTGCAAGGAGGAGATTTCTCTAATCAGAACGGCACCGGCGGAGAGAGCATCTATGGGGACAAGTTTGAGGATGAAAACTTTCACTATAAGGTATAAGAGCTGGGTTCTGTTAATGTCTACAATGAAGCAAAAACATTTTCAGGTCTGTTTACATCACTGCTAGATAATTGCTCTGCGCCAGACTGAAATAAACACGCCACTTGGCGCGGCCCCTTGTGGATCGAGCTAAATTAGTTGTGCCTGCTTTGAGGAACAAGGTGGTGAATGACTGCATCCTCAGCCCTTTTCTGTGAATAAATGAAGTGGAGATTTTTAATGAAGTCGTCTCTTGTTCTGGCATCCTCGTTAGCATGACAGAGAGGGTCTCCTCAGCATGGCCAACGCTGGGCCCAACACCAACGGCTCGCAGTTCTTCATCACCACCGTGCCCACTCCTCACCTGGATGGCAAGCATGTGGTTTTTGGGCAAGTGCTGAAGGGAATGGGTGTCGTCAAGATCCTGGAGGGAATTGACACACAGGATGATCAGCCTGTGAAGGTGGGTTGAGATTTGCCTACCTCAGACATTTCAAACACTAAAGTGAAATATAATGAATGAATCTTTCTATATACAATAGTTTTCCCCTTACCACTGATTGTAGTCGATGAGTCAAGACAGGTTTGAAGCCTCATTAATATACTGTGCCAAATAGCAGGTAATGGCAGATTTTAGGCAGGGTCATTATAGATAACGATGATATAAAACCGATACTGAAGTGAAATCTGGAAAAGTTTTTAAAACATGAAAACAAAATTATACTGTAATGTTCCACTGTAAAACTAGCTAAAATGTAATAGAATTACTGGAAAAATATATTTTTTTTTTCTAGTGAGTGAATTTAGAAGTTTAGAAGTGGATCCCTTCTGTGTAAAGACACCAAAAAAAAAATTAATCCATTGTTTATTGATTGTCAGCCTACTTTTTTTTTATTTTGACCATCGCAATGACTCATAATTTTCACCTGTATGCAATTTTGCAGTCGTAGTGTCTTTGCTTAAGTTAGTGTCAGGCTAACAGAGGTGTATATTCGCTGTTCCCTGGGCCAAAAACCACTTACGGCAACTCTACCTTACCTGCGTTAGAACCAGTGAAACTCATTGGCGAGTAGTGGGCGACCGTTGGCAACACAAAGCAAGTGATCTGAGTGTTACAAGGAAGCTCAGCTCTCATTTTTATGCAAATGGAAAGCGAAACGGTGCAGCAGTAGCTACTCAGAAAAGATGTTCTCATGTCTCTTGCGGCGCAGTGCACTTACCATGGTTCCTGTGAAAGATTTGTTTCATTACATTTATATATAATAAGGAATAAGGAAAGCTGATCAGAGCAGTGTCTGAGTTTACTGTGCTGTATGGAGTCTGTGTTTATATACTGGAATCTCATTAAAAAAGTGTGCTTTCACTTCAAAACGGCCACCAGTGACCACTCAAAGGCTGCCAGAGTGATTTGCTGGCAGTGTGCAGTTTATACCTGACTTTTCTTTTCATGTTGCAATTTTTCAGTAAATGTCTTACATAAGTGCTGATGGTTCCCCCTTGTGGATAATATTTAGACTGCTAAACATGAGGGGGTGAGTTATAAGCCAGGCCTATTAGCAGCGCCACACATTAAAATGTGAATTTAAATTGCTGAACTTGCTTGTTTAGAATGATTTATTATTAACACCTGGATAAATTGAGCACATGATTTTGCATAGCTATAATTTGAGATTGTGTCAGATGCATTGGGTGAAAATGTAAAGAGTGAAGAATATGAATGAGGGAGTGTGAGTAGTGTGTGTTTTTTGGGGAGAATACATTGGGGGTCTGGAAAGTATTTGCTTTAGAATTAGGCCCTCGATCAAATCTGTTTAATGACCCCTGCTGTATGCTATGCTGTTACAAAAATGGACAAAAGAACAGATAAAATTCAGGCTTCCAAATGACTGCAGTGTCCATTTGTATTTAAAACAGTTTGTCATTCCGTGAAACCACATAAACAACGATAATAAAGGTATACATTTCAAACAGGTGCTGTAAACCTTCCTTGTTAGCTTCATTCGTCACACAGCTCCAGTCCAAACTAAAGCTCTTAAAAACTTCAGGCGCCAGACTGTATTAAGGGTAAGGGGAAGATGCGTAAATTAGATTTTTGGCCAAACCATCAGTTTAAAAGTCACATCTGGGAAATTACTTCTAAATACTTTAATATGCACTGCATGCTGTCACTACAGGAGCTGTTAATTATTTGAAATATGACCAGATGAAGGTTTTATCTGGCCTTCACTCCTCTGAGTATTAATCACAGTCAAGACTCAGATTGGACAGTTTAAAAAGTATTAAACGTTTAAAAGTTTCTGTGCGTTTGTTCACTAAGAACCAGGGAGCAGTTTAATAAGCTGAAGCCAGACTGTGGCCTGCAGTGTAATGGGAACATTTCTTTCTTTCTTTCTTTCTTTCTTTCTTTCTTTCTCTTTCTTTCTTTCTTTCTTTCTTTCTCTTCTTTCTTTCTTTCTCTCTTTCTCTCTTTCTTTCTTTCTTTCTTTCTCTCTTTCTCTCTCAGCCGTGTGTTATAGCTGAATGTGGAGAGCACAAGGCAGGTGATGACTGGGGTGTGGCTCCCATTGACGGCTCTGGAGACGTGCACCCGGATTTCCCTGAGGATTCAGACTTTGACTTCAAGGATGTGAGTGTATCTCAACATGTCTTCTGATAAAATTAGGCATCTAGTAGGGGTGTATCGGCACATGTATTCGTCTCGAGCAGTCATGTGTTATCCACAGCCTGCAGTATTTTTGCTCCTCTGAAGAGATTCAGCACAAAGCCTTACAGATTGTTCTGTGTTTTCTCTGCTCCTGGCTACAGAATCACACCTGAAGTTTAACTGTCACCATGCAAATCGTTTAATGTTAGTGACTTTGCCATCCAGTGCAAGCGACACTACACACTACAGGCTGTACCAGTTACTGTATACTGTACAACACTAGATAGAACAAACTGTAACTTGTGCTACTGTCTGTTGAAAATGAATCAAAAGATTGCATTCATAGCATGATAAAGTGAAACACAGAATCATGGAGAGTCTCTAAACTAGCTGAGCTTATGATGATAGATGGTGGTGATGGGACATTATTGGTATTGATTTATTGTTTATTATTTTTTAAAATAAAAAATCGGAGGTGAGAAAGCGTTATTACACTTTGAAAGAAGAGTACAGAAATAACAGACATTTTGGTGTGACGTAATGAATCATGCTTAAGATGACCATGACTATGGACATGAACCAACAAAGTATAGTTTGAAATTGATTTCAGGTTGACTTTAACACACAGTCAGGTTTGGACATTTACACTGTTATGTTAGCTGTCCGTTCACAGCATATAAATGTTGAAATTAAATAATGAACATGAGCTCAAAGTGCGATTTTAATTTGATGATATTTACAGTTAAAAGTTTCTGAATCGGGTCAATTACAACTACGTTCATACAGACACCCTTTCCCCTATTTTTAGGGGCTCAAAAGTAACTGGACGAACTAAAAATGGTTAATTAAATTAACTTTTTTAATATTTGGTTGCAAGACCTGCTATCAATAACTTCCTGAAGTCTAAAACATGGACATCACTCAAAGTTGGATTTCTTTCCTAGCTCTGCTCTGCCAGGCCTTTACTGCAACTGTCTTTTTGTTTTTGAGACATTGTGCCTTCAGTAAGTAAAATGCCTGTTCGGATGGATTAAGTTTCGGTGATTGGCAGAACAATGCAGAACAATCCATGTCTTTGCCTTAAAAAAGTCTTTGGTTGCTTTCTTAGTATGCTTCGGGTGATTGTCCATCTGCACTATGAATCACTGTCCAGTGAGTTTTGAAGCATTTGGCTGAATCTGAGCGGATAATACAGCTCTATACACTTCAGAATTCATCCTGCTGCTTTTGTCAGCAGTCACATCATTAATAAATACAAGAGAATCAGTTCCACTGGCAGCCATACATGCCTGTGCTATAATACTACCTCCACCATGCTTGATGGATGTGGTGGTGTGCTTTGGATCATGAGCATCATTCCTTTACAGGTTGATGGTCTCATATGTCCATAAGATGTTGTTCTATAACTGTACAGCCTCTTTTAGATGTTAGTGCAAACTCTAATATGGCCTTCCTTGCTAATTACAATGGTTTACATCTTCTGGTAAATCCTCGGCATTTGCTTTGGTGAAGACTTCTTTTGATTGTTGACTTTGGCACATACACTCCTACTTCTTGGTGGGTGGTCTTAATCGGGCCAACTGTTGAGAAGGGTTTTTTTCTTCAGGGAAAGAACTCTTCTGTCACCCGCCACAATTGTTTTCCATAGTCTTCTGGGCCTTTTGGTGTTTCTGAGCTCACCAGTGCTTCTTTCTTTTTTAAGAATGTACCAAACAGTTGATTTGGCCACACATAATGTTTTTGTTGTCTGGATTCATTTTGATTTTTCAGCCTTATGATGGCTTTTTTCACTGACAGTGAAGCTCTTTGGACTTCATAGAGAATTTACAGCAACAGATTCCAAATGCAAATGCCACACTTGAAATGAACCCTAGACCTTTTTTCTGCTTTCTTATAAGTAAAGTAATGAGGGATTAACACACATGACCATGGAACGGCTGAGCAGTCGGTTGTCCAGTTACTTTCGGGCCCCTAAATATGGTGGGGCTGTGTATGAAAATGGTGTAATTCTTCCACTGTTCTTTCAGTTTGGATATAAATACCTTCACATTAAATGAAAAGCAGTTTGAGCTCATATTTAGTACTTAATTTCCATACATTAGGACAGCTAAAATGAGAACTGTGTTGACATCTAAATATTTATTAACTTGACTGTACCTGATTCAGCATATGTGTTGAATCAGGTGGGGTGGGGCAGCAAAAGCACTAAACTCTGAACTGTGGCTCTTTACATTTAATGTTTTACCTTTCCTGACATCCAGTACTGCATATACCGATGGCCTAAACTGGGGAAAACAACAAAAAAAACCCACAAATGTAAATGTGGCAAATGCAATGTGCCTTTCAGAGCATCATTCAGAAAGGAGACACATTAAAATCTAAAATTCTCCTCATCCACTGCTTATTCTCAATATGCGCTTTCACACACAGGGCATGATAATAAGATAATTGCACAATTTTCCGTCTCTCAGGCTGATAAAATTTTGGCTGTGGCTGAAAACATCAAGAACATTGGAAATAACTTTTTCAAGGCGCAGAACTGGCAGGCTGCCATTAAGAAGTACTCCAAAGCTCTCAGGTGAATGCCTCATTCTGAACCCTCCCTGCTCTTCATTCAAGTCATCACATTTCTCTAGCACTTATCCTTTTAAAATTGCATTACATCTGAGACACACCGTGGTCTTCTTTTCTAAAAAATATAGTTATTCCTCAGGTAGTCTAGTTTAAATCTATATCTATAATGTGTGAATATTGCTATCAGTTTAAAATGTGTGCCCTTAACACTTGAATTGTGGGCCTAATGGACCATGATCTTCCATTGCTCACAGGTATTTAGAAGTATGTGGTGATATCCTGGATGATGAGAGTGCTCAGAAGAAGCTGGAGCCCACTGCCCTGAGCTGTATTCTCAACACGGCGGCCTGCAAGCTCAAGATGCAGCAATGGCAGGAGGCCGTAGAGAGCTGTGATGAGGTATGTGGGTCTGTGTATCCTGTTATTGGCTCCAGCTACTAGTACATAGCAAAGTGATATCAAATATATATGTCAAATCAAAGAAAATGCTTATTTAAGTACATATGAGTTTAGTGGTTAACCTACTAACCTAAGAGTTTAGCTCCACTCCTAATCGAACACAACTGATCCAGGTAATGAAGGCCTTCAGAGGCATCTGAACATTAGAGCTAGGTGTGTTGGATCTGAACTCTGCAGGGTGGTAGATCTCTACGACCAGGATTGGGCACCCCTGACCTACTGGATTAACTCCTTAAAGCAGGGGCGCATAGCTCCAGTCCTGGAGGGTTGGTGTCCAGCGCAGTATGGTTGTTGCCCAAGTTGCATATCTGCGAATGTGGTGTCAGCTAGCATACTCCCTTAATTTTGCACTAGTTCAGTTTGACTGTTGTTTGGTTCTCGTCCTGCCCTCAGTGCTGATGGATAGCCAATCCGTGTGGCTTCTGTCAGCTACAGTGCCCTCCACAGTATTTGGGAGAAATGTATTTAAGTAATGATGTTTGAACTGCCGAGTACAATCAGTTTAGATAAAATATTTCAAGCTCTGGTCTGAGCGGCCCTGGTTTTGACTGTTAACTCAAGACTTAACTCAAGTATATGAGAGTAGGGGATGGCAAAATTATAATATCACAATACTTGTAGACGTTTTCATGATATATACTTTTTCTGAGGTTTGAAAGTTTGAAAAAAAATAAACAACAAAAAAACTTTAGTGCCTCATTTTAAAAATACTCTTCAGAACAGAGAACTAAGTTTTTTTTTCAACTTTTATATATTGTTCTTTATTAAGTCCACTTAAACTGGCCTAATTGTGTTCTTTGTTGGTCAGTGTTTTTAAAGTACTGCCTATATCCATGATGTTTTCAAAAAAACAAATTGTGATTTGACAATTTATATTATAATTTTAATAATGTTAATACAGTGTCATATTGCCCTTCCCTATGTGAGAGTAGGCAAAACACAGGGCTCTCCAAGACAGGACACACAGATTTGTAGTAGTATTCAGTTAGGAGCTGCAGCTTGTAATGAAGATGTTCTTTTTCAATTAAAGAAGGTCAGCTAATAGGAACAATTGACGTTTAATGAGAAGGAACTGCCACACTTTACTGCTGAAACTGAATCTGTAGCATTACTCACGTCCTTCTTTTCCGTTCCTTCCAGGCTCTGGAGCTCAGTCAGGCACACGCTAAAGCTCTGTTCAGGAGAGCTCAGGCCTGGCAAGGTCTAAAGGAGTTCAGCAAAGCCTTGGTAAGAAAAGAACCATACTCTGAGCTTCTTATATAACAGTTACACTAACGAGCTAATGAATGTAAATCCATACTGCTCATTAAATTGTTCACCACTCAGTGGACTAAATGTGTTCTTTGCCTCACTTAGACAGGCAGGAGAGACACAGCAGCACCTTCTCCAATTCATTTGTTTTAAATTGGACCAGCCATTGGAATACATACCTCAGAAATAGAGCGCACAGCTCCTTCAGTGAAATTGCCCAGATCATAGTGAACTCAGATGAGCTGGCAGAGACAGAGAGCTCTCCTTTAGACATCCACAGTTGTATTAAGCCTGAGAACCCCTGAAATTGGAGCTCAGACATGCACATTTTGATGGGCTAATCTAACCACACTTGAATCATTTCACAAATAGGCTTATGGAAAATTGCCACAAATTCTAGGTTCTACAGACATTACACCTTTTTTTTTTATATTCACTATAGCACTTACCGCTTGTCTTCTCAAATTACAGATTGATCTAAAGAAAGCCCAGGAGATTGCACCAGATGACAAAGGTGAGAGTTGTTCCAATCAGACTAACCAATAGGTAGAAGTGTCTGTGTCAACCAGAGAACAGTTTCACCTCCTGAAACAAACAAGGGTTGTGCTCTAGGCACAGAATAAGCCTAGTTTTTGAACGCATGGTGTTTTAAACTCATTTCTTAATATGGAATTTCTTAAACTCTGTGAAATGTTATTAACCATATTTCTAAAAAGCTGACTGGCTGAACTGTTTTCTGAGTCCTTGTAAAAGTCTTTTAATATATGTACACTTACGAGCACACATACTGTACTTTGTATTAATGCACCAAAAAATTTAAAGTGTTCCACGTAAAGAGCATGGAGTCTAGTACTGATAGGTGGTGCTAGCCATAAGTATGTGACATACAGACCAAAAGTGTATTAAAGTTACCCTACGCAAGAACCCAGTTTTGTTTAAACTGAGGGACTGACAAACTATAATACTTTCCTGATTATGTGACCAAAAACTAAACATTTTATAAAATGCATGGAAAATATAATGGTGAGCTACTGAAAGTTCTATATTGTTAAATTCTATATTAATCTGTCATTACTAGCCCAAGTTAAAATAAACATAATGGCATGACCAGGGCTAGTTTTCAGTAGCCACGTTTACATGCAGCCTAATAATCCATTAATAATCTGACTAATAGCTCACTGGGAACGGAATACGTCCATGGATACACTTCAGTTAGAACAGGCTAGTCTGATTGAGGCCATTCAGAACACAATTTCTATCTGATTAAGTCAATAATCCGTTAAATAGAAGAATAATAATGTAAACGCCTGTGTCTGATTACATTCCCAATCGGAAGGTTTACATTCTGATCATGTGCGTCACGTCATAGTGAAAGTTTATAACATTCAGCATCGTGGGAGCAGAAACTGCTCTGCAGAGGAGACGAAGTTTATGCTCTGATCTTTAAAAGACGGCGGTGGGACAGACGTCCAGCTTATGTGTCTCAGAACACGACGTCTTCCTCTCGGCCTTCTTTAATAAGTACATGTGAAGCACGTTTTTCTGAGTCTGACATCATTTTAAAGTAATTAAAAACACAAGCTGCCAGCTGAAAACTCATCTCACTCTGACCGGACCTCACATAAAGCTCGTTGTCATGGTAACGTCTACACTAAGTGGTTCTCTACGCATGCGCATCATTTTGGATTGAACTACTTGTAGTGCACATGTAAATGAAGATTTTTCATCGGATTGTTGAGCAGAGTGAGAATATAAACACCTCAGTCTTAATCTGTAATCAGAATGTGTTCAATTGGATTGGCAAAAATCTTTGCATGTAAACACAGCCAGTGTTGCCAGTTTGGGCAGATGGGGTTGTAGCTTAATGCTGTATTATTTAGTATTCTGATTGAAATATTGACCTTAGACTTTTTAATAACTTTTTTTTGATGGGTATTGTTGCGATGTCAAGTCTGTAACAATAGAAGAACCAATAGAAGAAAAATGTTAACCGATACAGTTAGTTGAACAATGTTTTTTCTACCTAATCTTTTATTCACATCCCTAGTTTGCACATTACTCATAATATAACCCTCACCTGAAAAGCCAATGGACAGTGCTTGTTTTGAAAAACAATGTATTTTTAATGTATTTCTGTCCAGCTATTGCAAACGAGATACTGAAGGTCCATCAAAAAGTGAAGGAGGAGAAGGAGAGAGAAAAGAAGATCTATGCCAAAATGTTTGCGTAAAGGAACCTGCAGTGACCTCACAACGTGCGGATCTACCTTCATGAGCTCAAACACATTTGCCTATAGTCCACTGTTCAATCCCAAAGTGATGTAAGCCCAGTTCTGTGAGGAAGAAGTCAGAGAGGCAGGGATTCTCTAACTTGAAGTTGTGCAGTTTACAGAAGGAAGCACTAAAACAGGGAATGAGGTTCATTATAGAGAACATAAAATACTTGATTTTGTTTTGTGTATAATGCATTTTAAATGAGAAGGCTTGACTCTTGGTTCTAAACTGCTGTTCAGAATCGCCCAAGCAGAGCTTGCCTCTGTGGATTGTCTGTCTCTATTTATTTGTCTTAAACTGGCTGTTCATTCATTGGAATTAAGAGTATTAAAGGAAATGTGTTCCTGGAACGATCCCAGTATTCACTGTAATAAAGTCCAGCTTATTCTCACAAGAGTCTGTGTCTGTTGAAATAAACAAACCAGAGATTTGGTAAAATGAATTTATTCTACCAGTTACAGTTTCTGAATTTGACACTATGTACAGCAGCAAATGAGCTAGAGCTGTTAGCGTATGGACTAGTACCTGACCAGCTAACACAATAGCATCACCCACCAGTTAAGTGTGCGTATAGAGACAAACCAAAATACTGCTGTTCATGTGAGCAGCCTGTAAAAGTTTGCTTGGTCACACGTTAATCTTTTACATTAAAACTACTGTGTTCCAGTAGCCTTTCAAGCCTTGTTTCATCAAACTTAAACACACTTATGCCACTTAAGTCATGATAATTCCACTCTTAATGCCCATATCAGTGGATATGGGAATGTTCTGTAGGCACATGAAGTACTGCAATCCTCCTTGAAGGTTTATGAAAGATAGACCCTGAGCGCGATGCCGTAGGAGCCTATATGATACACCTGCATACAACCGTAAAAAGGAACCCCAGAAAGAAAGAGAAAAAAAAAGCCGCATTTCACATGCCGTTGTAGGCTGGTCCTCCGCTGCCCTCAGGAACGACCCAGTTGATGTTCTGGCTTGGGTCTTTGATGTCACATGTCTTACAGTGCACGCAGTTCTGTGCATTGATCTGTAGTCTCATACCTTCACCTGACTCCAGAGGAACAAACTCATACACGCCTGTGAAGGAAAATACTGATTAAGTTACTGATAATAAAATAATAAAAAAAAAAAATTGCATTATGGGATGTGTAAACATGTAAACGACCACATCGATGATGACAAACTCAGACAAAAAAAAGCTTGATTATATATATATATATATATATATATATATATAATTTTTTTTTTTTTTTTTTCTTCAGTTTTAACAATTTGCAAATAACTACTGTCCTTTATATTGTGTGTAAATTTCAAGACGAATGGACCAAAAGAAACGGCCCAAGAGTATTTGGAAAAATGTCTGGTTCCATTGACTTACATTAAAAGTAAAGTGTGTGCTTTCCTTCTCCTGTAAAGTTATCATTTTGGAGGTACAAGGTAGATTATATATATATATATATATATATATATATATATATATATATATATATATATATATATATATATATATATATAGGGGTATGCAAAATTTGGTCCAGATTGGCCTTTAGGGGGCGCTTTAGCACTTAAACACTTAAAATGATTAAAAATGCTATTACAATTTTATTATGAAATCTACAGTTAAACAAGTCGTGCCATTTGACTCAGTTTGCTGACCTAAGTAGGTCTGTATTTACATGTTATGTCAGAAATTTCACTCCTTGTCTGATATTTTCACTTGAATTTGTTTGGCACACTGTACTTTTCACCTTGGTTGCCTATTAGGCCTAATTATGCTAATGTGTGCTTGGACCCGCTCATTGCTGCTTGTGGCTATATTGAATGTGTTTATATTTACTTGCATCTATTCCACTGATTTATGGTGATGTTACAGGCAAAAACACACATTGTCATGATAAACAGTTTTAACAATGTGCTCAGATGCCCAAGACTTTTACACAGAACTTTCCTCATCAAGGAGTTGGATCAAAATGGTGCTGGATTTATGTATCTGAGGAATACATATCCCAGCATACGTGATGCCAAGAAGGGATTTTTGCAGGTCCTCAAATTAGAGAAGTAATGGACTTTGAAAAGAAGTTAAGGTGAGCAGAAAATTACTGTGAAATACAAAATGACCTAATGGCACCATATATAGCTATGATGTTCAATATGCCATTAAAAACACATTGTCTGGACTCATCTGGATTTCTTCCTTGAGAATCTCAGCACTGTCAGTGGCATTTTGAATTGTGGTACAAAGGGACTGTGACTTGTAAAATGTGCTATGTGTGGTATCTGAGTGTTTGTAGGGAATGATTAAGTGCTAAGTCATTAGTCTACACACCTGCAGGACAGAATCTCTGCTCAGGGCCGTCATAGATGGCGAGATTTTGCGCTACAGGAACACTGTCGTCCTTCAGCGTGAGGTGAGGGGGCTGATCGTGCTCGTGATTGGTCCCACTCAGAGCCACTGATGACAGCAGGTCAAAGCTGATTTTCCCATCAGGCTTTGGATACTCGATGGGTGTGCATTCTTTTGCTGGTTTCAGTTGGGCAGAGTCCATACCTGAGAAAATACATTCATTAAGATTTTTTGAGTTACAATATGTCTTATATGACTGTTTCTATGAAGAAAGTGATTTTCTTTTACTTTTTAGCTTTTCTGTGTTCAAAATAAACCAGGTTAGTCTTTAATATGTTAAGTTCTTGCAAATCAACAAACAAAACATCCTCATTTGTTTATGGGTATAGTACTGGGCAAAATCCCACCCTTCGTTTCTTTAATTTCTAGTCAAAACAGATATTAAGCACACGCTATTACATATGATTAAAAGAAAAAAATTGATCAACAGCTACAAACAAAATGTGACTCCTAACAACCACCTAGAAGACCTGGTAGACACAAAAACTGTCCCCATCAGATAAACAGCACTTAAAGCTTTCATCTTTGAGAGAGAGGAGAAAATCAAGCTGCTTCAGATCTGAAAACATCCACAGGTGTTTCTGTCCATCCTTCCACTGTGAGAAGACGACTCAGCACTATGGGTCTGAAAGGATGTGTAGAGTACAGACCTCAGCATCACTGGTTGTTTGGGATAATACTTTCATCAGGAGAAGCAGAAAATGCAAACCAAATTTTAAGACTGAACTTTGGAGGTGTGAAAAATATCTCCCTGCTGATTTATTTGAAAAATTAAAGTGAGTCTCCTGAAGAAAATGGACACACAAAATACCAAAAAATGCCATATAACGACATGTTGTTGAGGCTCCTGTGTCACTTTCTAATTTTCTGTTTTATTTGGAGCTCTATATTTTTGTTTTTGTCTTTTTTCTGATGCTGAAAAATGAATCATATGTAACGTGTCCATTTCATCAGCTCCACTTACTATATAGGTGCACTTTGTAGTTCTACAATTACAGACTGTAGTGTGTTGTGCTGGTCTGAGTGGATCAGACACAGCAGTGCTGCTGGAGTTTTTAAACACCTCAGTGTCACTACTGGACTAAGAACAGTCCACCAACCAAAAATATCCAGCCAACAGCGTCCTGGGGGCAGCGTCCTGTGACCACTGATGAAGGACTAGAGGATGACCAACACAAACTGTGCAGCAGCAGATGAGCTATCATCTCTGACTTTACATCTACAAGGTGGAATGACAAGGTAGGAGTGTCTTATAAAGTGGACAGTGAATGTTTAAAAATTCCAGCAGCACTGCTGTGTCTGATCCACTCGTACCAGCACAACACACACTAATACACCACCACCACGTCAGTGTTACTGCAGTGCTGAGAATGACCCACCACCCAAACAGTACCTGCTCTGTGAGGGTCCATGGGGGTCCTGACTACTAAAGACCAGGGTAAAAGGGGGCTAACAAAGTATACAGAGAAACAGATGGACTACAGTCTGTAACTGTAGAACTACAAAGTGCACCTATATAGTAAGTGGAGCTGATAAAATGGACAATGAGTGCAGAAACAAGGAGGTGGTCATAATGTTATGCCTGATTGGTGTACATGCTTAATGGTGGTCTATGACGTTTTTTGCACTGTACTAGTTAATGTGCTTTTAATAGTTAATATATTTACATACTGCAGTTATTTGTGCAAGGACGAGCTCCACCTTATAAGAAAACTTGGTGGTCAATTAGGAGAATAAATCAGTCATAATGAATTTCCCATGCAAATCCTGTTTTTGTCTCATTATAAAAGCCAATAGGATTATGTATGATAAAGAGCTTAGACCTGCTGATCGTCTTGGGGGGCAAACATACTAGTGTAGTTGCCTGAATCTCTAAGATTAAGGAACAGAAATGAGCCAGACTTCGTCTCCTCACCGCAGTGCTTAAGGGTCCACGGCTCTTTGCCTCGCAGGATCCAGTAGAAGATTCCAGTGTACAGCATCCCTCCGTAGAGACCGAAGTAGTTGTGGAACGATGGCCGAATGTTCCTCACGGCATGCAGCTCTTTCCACACCCAGGAGTTCTTTAGGCTTTGCTCATACTCTGGAACATGAATACCTGACAGAGGAACAGCACAAAAACACTTTTGATCCAGTCTTTTCAGCAATCTGTTTCAGTTTACTGTACTGCAGATTAAAAAAAAATTAATTAAACACGGAGCAATCTGATGTCGTACGTAAACACTTTAAAGTTTAAAGTTTAAAATGAAGCCTTCACAAATGTAATGCACTGCATATGAAAACCAAGCTGCCAAAACAGGTGACGTTTAATGCCTTCGAATGTATTTAAATATATTCACCTATTCAGCCTAAAGCAGTTTAGCCCCACCCATTCACGCTGCTATTCAAATGAAGCATTAAACAGAACAACTGATTAGAACAGAGGTCATTTACATATATCAGCCTTAAAGGCACAGTAACAACAACAGTTGGTTTGATTCTAACGGATGAAGAGAGGTTAGAAAATCATCATGCAAAAATGGATTATGGCTGTTTTCGGACATAAACCCACACAAAAGTCATAATACTATCAAATATTATAAACATGTAGTATATGTGTCGTTTAAGTGATTAGTTAATGAATTAAATTCTGCATGAATATGACTAACAACTTCCCAAGTCTGACAGTAATGACTGTAGTGATTATAATCCAGTGTGATTCTGCAGTGTGTATAGTTTTTGCAGTCTGACAGTAATTACTGTGGAGTGAATGGTCTTCAGTAATATGTTGAACTGAGCTCCCTCAGTCAAACCACCTTGCGCGAATGAAATGAAAAAAAAAAAAACCTCAGACATTTTTGTGTGATGTTATGACTTTTTAGTCCAGGCTTTCAGTGGAAATGTAGGGAAATTATGCAGATACTTTATCACAAACCTATTGGCTATTCAACACTGATAAATCATGACAGAACCTCCACTGTTAAAGCTAATCCAGCTTTAATAGTGCTCGGGT